AAGCAAGTTTTTACAGTGAAGAGGGACATTCATGCGGCAGCTTTGCAAGATAAATGGCAGCGCTTTTTTCTCGTGATCATGGATTGGCTAAATGTGGTAATGCCCCCGAATCTCCACTATGAGTTTTCTGCATCATGTTGGCGCAGAATTCTCATAACAGTGTTGGATTTCAGCTGCACCGCTTGAATACGAGATATGCTACTTTGTTTTTTGTTAAGTTCAATAATTCAGATCGATGTCAAAGGACCTGTGCCGACAGATCAGCGGGCAGCCTCATGATCAACCGGGCGCTAATGCAGTCATATTGTACCCGCACCCTCCAGGGCTGTCTCTTCAATCACACCTTCTTTCTTTAATCAATACGCTAATGTAGTTTTTTCGCACCTTGTCTTCTTCAACCACACCTTCTTTCTTCAATGGGGTACCATTTGCGTCATAAGAAAATTACAAGATGGGCGCCGCTCGGCTTTCTCTGATAAAATATGAGTAACAAATGAACGAGACATTCCATTACTCGAAACTTTTTTCTCGGAAATGAGCCACGAAGACATCAATATGGTTTTGTTTTTCCAAAATTTTAGTATGCCATGCCTCTCTCATCCAATTTCGGTGTTCGTACTCGAAACTACTCTAATGGCTTGCATCATTGCGGGTACCCCTCCAAAATCGAGGGTACGGTTTATCGGCCTGCTCCTCATCATTGGCTGCGTATATACTATTGTTTTGACATCGGCTTCACACATGCGACTGCCATGGGCAATAATTATATCAAGCGATAGCATTTTGTTACTTCTTCAGTATATCGACATTGCACTTTTGAACAAGCTGAGCTTCCTTCCGGATACTGGCAATGGCAGGAAAACCATAAGCATCCCAGTTGAAACAAACGCATTGGCTCGGATCAAATGGGGATTTCAGAGCACCTTTACCTTTCGCTATGTCAACACATCCATGGAGGTAAAAAACGTCCCGCAATTTCATCGTGCCCCGGGTCGCATCGGTACTCCCTCTCGGAGCGTCTTTGTATTGAAGGCTATCATAACCGCAACGCTCTGCTACCTAACACTTGACTTCTTTTCACTTCAACCACCACCCGAAACTCCGGTCACACTATTCTCATGGCAATCCGTATCATTGTTCGGTCGCATACGCCAAATCACAACTTCTGAATTGACTGTGCGAGCCATTGCTTCAATCATCTATTGGGTAAGCATGTTTTGCACCATTCAAGGTACCACCAGTTTCGCAGGCGGTATCGCCGTGGCCTTGAAGCTTTCTCGGGTGAACTCCTGGCGACCGATCTTTGGCTCAATATTAGATGCCTACAGTCTTCGAAATTTCTGGGGGTAAGTTCCCGCTATACCTTTCTCCTTCTTAAAAGGCAAGGAAACTGAATGCATCCAGCTGACACTCGATGACTTTAGTATGTTCTGGCATCAGACTCTGCGTCGGATTCTATCGGATCCTGCCAGATATCTGACACGTGAAGTGCTTATGATACCAAAAGGCGGGCTCAGTTATCGATACACGCATTTGTTTTTCGTGTTTTTAATATCAGGGCTATTGCATTGGCTTGGAGAACTCGGAGGGGGCATACCCCTTCAATCCTCTGGCACATTAAGATTCTTCATAACTCAAGCCCTTGGAATAGTTATGGAAGATGCTGCTGCGTATTTGTATTTCTCCATACCTGGAAATCTACAGCAAGCACAAACCACTATTCCATTAAAATTCATAGGTTACATCTGGACTTTTGCCTTTCTTGTCTGGTCAACACCTGCTTGGTTATATCCAGTAGCTAGCAGGCCGGTATATGCACCTATAGTTCCGTACTCAATCATCGGCTGGTGTTTAAACCTATGATCAGAATAAGGCAGGCTGATCACGTTTGTGCCATTGGCAGGTTGGAGAGGGGGTGTCGATGGTGTTATCTCTATGGTGTTGCAGGGTAATACACTTCTTGGCCAGTATTCAGTCAAATCTCACCGGACTTGCGCCGTGCCACATTTTGTCTTCTGGATAAAAGAAAGATCTTTAGGATATAAGATTACTCTACATCACAAACCATAAACTATTTCCCAAAGCTTTTTTGCAATGCTCCGCTTTACGTAGCCATGGTATTGTGTATAGCAAGCTGAATATTCGTTGTTTGTTATTCAGGTACCAATGTTCCTGGCAATCAACGTCTCCTGTCTCTGTACACATTACCAAAGCTCTTTAGCTTACATTCATTTCCAAGTCCCCAGTCGTGATTTATAGGCATAACTTCTCTTTTATATCACATCCAAGCATCAATCCTTTCCATATACATATGTCTTAGCTTATTCGAGTTCCAAATCCCGTTTTTGTCTTCTTTTGGAAAATCATATCCATATTTCTTCATTCATGATATTGGCTATTCCTTAAACTTATAAATCACTCGACTATATACAGTAGAAATGGACAACTGGTTCGTGGCACTGACGGTCAACAAGGTCGAAGAAATGCGCCACTACTTGTCTTTTATCTTGGGCAGTAACGCTAGGGTATGTCTTGCATAGGCTCCCGTGTTGGCATCGTCGTCTCGGTTTTCTTTTCGATAAGGGGACACCCCTCGTTGTGAAATTGTAGGATGTAAATTCTGGTAGTCACTCGTTTTGACCTTGGTTTGAGCATATGTACTTCATCAATGTGACTCTCTCACTCGCTCACTTCCCCTTTTAGCAAGTTTGTTAAATCAGTTCCAATCCAATTTCCTAGGGCCCGGCGCCGTAGAGCTCCACACTATACTCTAATATTTAATATTAAAACTCTGGCTCCTAGTTTCTTCCATATGGCTATATTTCCCATGTGTAATGCAAATGTTCTCGCAGACGCAATCAAAGCATCATGAGAGATTTTGGGAAAGGCAATGAAGAGACTATTCACCCAAAATAGTCCCCCGCAATTATTGTCAAGGGCGTCAACGCAGAAACATGCAATGGGTAAGTTCACTCATTCTCGTCATATTTTACGATTTGCTAACTTCTTCATTGGAATAGCATTCGCTGTTATGTTTGTGGAGAGGTTAGAGTCCGTGCGGATTTTCAGGTTCGAAATCGACCAAAGGTTCTCCCCGGAAGAAACAATCAGAAGTATAAGGGCGAGCTAGATTTGACAGATATTGTAAGTTTGTAAGTGTTTTTCACTTTTCTTTGAACTTTTCTTTTCGATGAATTTTACTGATATTTTTGTATAGGAGTGTTATGATTGTCGCTGATGGCGCAAACATGCAACTGACATCGAGAAAGTCAATAGAGGTGTTGCAGAACGGAACGTAATTCGGATGAAAGTTGGTGTTCCATTAGAGGATGTATTTCTTATGATATCTGCGCCGGACAGCGAATTGGGAATCGAGAAATAAGAGTATAGGTAACTTCAGGTTGGAAGAATACATCGGATTGCAGAATATCATTCAGAGAGATTATAACTCTGACTCTGATAATGAGATGAGATGAGATGAGATAAGATATGAGAGTCTCGCTGAACTCGAACAATCTTGTTCCTTACTCTTCGATGATCGAAATAGAATAGATTACAATGATTATTACCTAAGTATATACCTAGGTATATATTCCACAACCCCAACTCCCACCCAACACTATAATATAATACAATAACAAGCTCTACAGAATCCAATCCATTGGCTCGAATACAGCTAGCTAGGTGTTTCAAAAGCGGGTCAGACATGATTAAGATTTAATTCTTGTGCAGTATGAAAGAGTAAAGTTTGAGATGTGAATATGAATATGTGTCACGTGATTGAGAGATTGAAGCTGAGATGTGGGGAAGAGTTTTGCGTGGAAATTTTATAGAAAGGTAATTTCAACTTCATATTGATGAATGATACTTTTAACATGATGTTTATATAAGGCTGTTTGTTCAATAGGTGATACGAGCAAGTTCTAGGCTTTGGACAATTCGAGGTATAGATTATTGGTTTGGTTGTATTGATTTTACTTCTTTATTACTTGTGTTATATCTCATCTTCATCTCCATCTTCATTATGATTTTGGAAAATGATATGTAGAGTATCATAAATATTACAGGATTCCAACAAGATTCCGATAATCTAAAAGCTGGACTTCGGGAATCTGAATCTGTAAAAAGCGATTTGTTAAATGTAACTTGCTTTTTGGTTGAACATTTTTTGGTTTCTTCTTCAGCTGCTATATATAGTTTGTGTCAGAAAGGAGAAATTGAAGGAGGGCGAGATAGCTTCATTTTGATATCGAGATTACATTTCCATATAGCAATCCCCCTCTTTCTCCCTCAAAAAAATAAGGAGAATTACATCGACCTTCCTAATACCAAATATTTCCAGAAATAATATTAGGAATCCCTCGGGAGTGGTTGGGAAAGATGATTGGTGAAAGTGGAAAGTTAAAGGGAAGCAACTAGATAATCATTATACTTTTTCCAAACTTCCTGTATAGTGTTAATATTCCTATGAAATGTGAACTTGAAGACGAGAGAGTGTAATGTTGAGTTGCGGATTAAACCGTGATGGTCATGTTAAATTGCAGACTCGTTGTGGCGATGTGTATACATTATAGATGCAATCCTGTAGGTTGTAGATTTGGGATGGATGGGATTTGCTTATTCTGCTTTATACGCTTTTGGTGTATAGCAATAAAAAAGGGATGTTGGGTTCTCTGTGCTGTGCTATGCTATCCAGGTGCTGTGATATTTCCATTTAACTGGATGTTAATATATCAAAATCGATTGCTATATCTTGAGTTGTTGAACTGCGTAGAGCTTGAGGCTAATACTAATAATCATTAGTACCGGTACTAGAACTGCAATTGATGTTGAGTATGCATAGACCATCAACATAATTGGTTCGCTTACTCCACAAAATTACACCACTTTAATTAAGGTACCCACCACCAAAAAAAAGAAAAAATGAATATCTTCAAAAACAAAAACAAAAAAAAAAGAATACATATCCAAAAAGATTGTAATCGGATCAGATTAGTTGTTGGAGCGGCAGGGAGTCGAACCCTGGACTTCATCGAGGCAAGTAGAACTATACAGTTAATTCGAATTGAATTAGACAATATTGTTAGATGCAAACGAGGCACTCTACCACTGAGTTACAGCCCCTATTCTGATTGATAGTAGAGGAAGAGTTATTTTGCAATATATATGCTCAGCTTTTGCTTTGTGAGCAATTTAAATACCAAGGGTTGATCAAAGAGACTCGGATTGGTTCGGATTGTACGGCCGCCCTGGAGTACGCGGCAATCCAGCTCCATTTATCCGAGCCGACTGACTACCGTACCGAAATTTAGCCATTACATGCCATGCATCATTTCATATCGTGCCTATCAATATGTCAGATTCCAATTTCATTTGAACAACCACCTCATTGACGTTGACAGCAACACAATACAATGATAATCAGGCAAAAATTTACTCTTCTCTTCTGCTTTGCAGCTGTTGGGCTTCTGAAATTCGCAAACGCGAGTACTGGTGATCGATTACCTGAATTTAAACAATGTGTTGAGGTATGAATGTCCCCCGTGGCTTTCCGTTGGTTTGTTTACATTATCCTAATCAAGAGATAGGTCTGTCAACGAGAGAATTGTAACAATGAAGCTGGAGGTGTTACGAATATTCGTATGTCGATTCCATTGTACTCTTTAGGGCTCGAAAATAATAACACAAATATAGCACTCCTTCATCGACTTCTCTTGTGGACTTGCCCCGCCGAATGCGATTATACATGCCAACATATAATAACCAACACGCGCGTCGAATCCGACCAACCCATCGTTCAATTCCACGGAAAATGGCCCTTCTACCGATTCCTCGGCATGCAAGAACCCTTCTCGGTTTTCTTTTCCCTGCTCAATTTCCTCGCGCACCACAACGGACTTGCGAAAATCAAGGCGCAGATGCCGGAAAGTTATAGCATGCGGAAATACTACGTCATGCTCTCATATGCCGGAATGATCAGTTGGGTTGCCAGCATGGTCTTTCACACGCGCGACTTTCCCCTCACGGAACAATTGGATTATTTTGGCGCCGGCGGGAGCGTCTTGTATGGAATGTACTATACGCCCATTCGAATCTTTCGCATGGATCGTGGGGGGAAACGTATGTCTTCTCTCTTGCGCGCTTGGACTCTTCTCTGTATACTCTGCTTTGCTGCACACGTCATATATTTGAAGTGGTGGGATTGGGATTATACATATAACATGGCTGCGAATGTGGTGGTAGGAGTGTTGCAAAATGGCATGTGGAGTTGGTTCTCATTTGAGAAATATAGAAAGAGTAAGAGGCCATGGGCAGCATGGCCGGGATTGGCCGTGGCATGGATTTTCATGGTGATGAGTTTGGAATTGGTGGATTTTCCACCTTGGTTGGGATGCTTAGATGCGCATAGTTTGTGGCATCTGGGGACGGTGGCGCCGATTATAGTCTGGTATCGGTACGTTTTACACTTTTCTGGGTTGTGGTGATGTGATGTGCACATGTGAACCAAGGACTAACTTTGTGATAGTTTCTTACTCAAAGATGCGCAAGAGGATATTGCTGGACAGAGATTAAAAGCGTAGATTCTACATGCATGCATGCATGAAATGAGGTGAGCAAGCTTGGAAAGATGAGGATCGTTGTGAATCAGAAGATTAATTATAATGTCAAATAATAATTTCTGAAATGCCTGCGGTTCTTCCTTCCTCTCATCTATTCCTTTTACTTTATGCCTCATACCTCATGCCCTCTTTATATCAATCCCTCAAATGAAGCATCAAAACCTTAGGCCCATCTACCACAAACCTTACACAGATATCCACCACCTGAAGATCTTCCCCCTCACAAATGCTATATCTTCTTATCCGGAGTAGAGCGAATCCAGTGAGTCGTACTCCTTACAAATAACTCGTTAGGTAAGTACTTTACTTGGGTATTTGTATCTTTTGCTTTGTCTGTTCTGATCGGATCTGATCTGATAGCTATCTGGTAGCAATCTGATAGTTAGTATGTTAGGAGAGTATTATTATTAGGTTAGTTTGGGTTGGAGTGGGTAAGGTTGGGTTAGGTTGGGTACTCATTTTATAATGGGATTTTTGGAACTTTTGGGATTATTTGGAACCTTGGGATTATTTGATATCAATATCGAAAGTCGATATCGATATCGAAAGTGAGGGGTATGCGATATATAATAGAAGAGGAGAGTAGAGTAGAATATTACGAACAACCCCTTCCTTTAGTTTAATCAAGATCCTCTTTCTCCCTTCCTCTTTCTCTCTCTCCCTTCCTCTTTCTCTTTTCTTTCTTTCTCTCTCTCTCTCTCATTCTCCCTATCCACGTATTTACCTATTTATCTATCTACCTATTTATTTATTTATTATTACTCTACGCATCCACTTCACTTCACTTCTCTCCAAACAGCACAATATCTTGCCCCTCATCTAGCTCCTCCCCCTCTCCTCCTCCCCCTTCTCCTCACCCTCCTCTTCCTCCCCTTCAAATCTTTTCTTTTCTTTTCTTTTCTTTTCTTTTATTGCACATCTATTAAAAACCCCATCCCTCCAATACAAAATAAACCCCACCCTCTCTAGAAATCCAAATAACCCCCATCCCTTCTATATCAATTTAACTCCTCTTATATCTTTCTTTCTTTCTTTCTTTCTAAATAAAAAAAGAAAAAAAAAAAGAACAAGAAATTATCGATGATATAAAGATACCAATATTTTTTTTCCACAAGAATACAGATTTCCGTTATTTAGTTTTTCTCTCAGAACGCAAATCCTTTCTTTATCTTGACCGATTTGGATAATTTGAAAGGTATAGTCTGAGAGTTTAATTCTAAGTAGGTATCTAGCTAGGTCGATAGTGAAATATTATATCTACCTACTTATACAAATCTATCTATCTACTTTCAAATAATTATTTGGGAGGGTTTTTAGTGGGTGATACTTAGGTAGGTGGTAGGTAGATGGTAAGGGAAGTGAATGATATGAATATGAATATAAAGATCTATAGGCTAATGATATATCTTAAACCCAACAATGAAGATAGATCGATATCTTATATTTCTCCATTAACAACAATTAATTAATGGGATAAACATACATTCTCAACGTCTAGGTACTGAGAACAGATAGAAAATGAAAATAACGACAGATATGATATGATGAGCACATAGAATAGAGATAGAGATAGAGATATCATATGATAATATAATCCATGTGCAGTTATCCATCCCATGAACTTCTTGTTAAATGCTTCGTGGTGTGTTTTTGTACGATACTAATACTACAACTGATTCTGTGATATCTAATCGAATCAAGTGAAGATAGGTATTTATATATACAGCCAGGCTTTAAGTTAGACGATTTACGAGTTGGAAGTTTGAAGTTTGAAGTTTGAGGGTTAAAGATCAAATATGAGGAATAATGGATGGATGGAAATGAATCTGCTAGCCTTCATTATTATTATTATTATTATTCATATTCATATTCATATTCATATTCTTATTCATATTCATATTCATATTCATATTCATATTCATATTCATATTCATATTCATATTCATATTCATATTCATATTCATATTCATATTCATATTCATATTCATATTCCCACCACAAGCCCAAGCCCAAGCCCGAACCAAAACCAAAACCAAAACCAACGAAAAAGCACCTATTTATTTATCTACCTACACAAGAAGCAATATATAATACGAACAGAGCAGAGACATAAACATAAACATAAACTCATAGCCAAAAAGACGTCATTAGGATGTAAAGCAATAGATGAAATACGATTTATAAATTGGACTTTTGATCTCAATCAATCTCCATGTGGATGATCCATTTATGCACGATGTTTTTTTTTTCGAGTATGGTATATGGATATATGGATATAATGAATAGCCAGGATGACCACGATATGATATGCTAAGGTAGTAGAGAGGGAGGGAGATTCCGGTGCTGAAGACATTCATTCTCTGAGATGTGTTTGTGCAAACCCAAGATGGAAGCTAGAAAATACGAGGGTTCAAATCAAATCCAAATAAATCCAAATAAATCAAAACAAAACAAAACAAATCAAACTACTGGAAAAGACAAGACGGTTCAAGTCAACTTTTTCACGAGATCGGATCGGTATTTTCGTTCGTGGTGATTCTAACGCGACGCATATGAGGAAATGAAGATTGATAAATTGGGATCTTTATATTTATAGGGAGAATGAATCGATGTACGAGTACCTAGATATGCACCTCATAAAATCGAATCGAGATTCTCCAAGTACAGAAATTGTATTGCTTATGCATGCATGCATACATACATACATGAATAAGAACAATAACGGATAAGAAAATAAAATAACATCCAGCTCCAAGCTAAAGATAAAAGAGAACTCGATATCGATATCGATGCGAGATAAGATGACATAATGCGGTGGATGAATGAACTACACCTGCTCCAAGCTATGGTTGGTTGGTGGGTGCATCGAGAGCGAGAGCGAGAGAAAGAAGGACTGGATATTCTTAGCTCATACTAATAGCTACCTATAGCCAACTCGATTTTGTAAGGAAATCTTCTGCTCTCTCTCTCTCTCTCGGAGAATTATTATTCAAAGGAGTCTCGACAGTGTACGATTAGGTAGTCGTGATAGTGATGGTGAAGAGATATATGACATGACGGTGCTGATGTTGATGGTGGATGTGTAAGATTGACAGGAGGTAGTTAGAGATGAGATTCATTATGACCCGCGAATATTTCACTCGAAGACCCGGATCGAAAGCCGCATGAAGCTTTCATGTCATCTTTGTCATGAGTTGTAAAGTGTGGAGAGTATTTAAGGGTTGATGGGTGAGAATCCACGAGAGAAGATACTGATAGAATGATATTCAAGCTTTTTTCTGCCAGTTATTGACAAATTGGATGGACGACTGACAATGATGCCAAACATGCAAATTGAGGTCCAATAAATTTTCAAGTCAAAATAAATATCCCTTGCCCTTCCAAACGCAAGGTACCTACCTACCTACCTACCTATCCCTCCCCTCCCCCTCCCCCCATACGCGAATGATTCAGGGGCCCTCGACTTGGCAAGTCAAAGAAACGCATGGGATATCGATCCATTCC